CTGGAGTTTCATCATAGCGGACGTCCTCGTTCCTATAATCGGCATTGATTTTCTGCAATTCCACAAAATACTGGTAGACGTCAGAAATAGGAAACTTGTCCTTGCCGAACAAAGTAAAGAAATTAGAGGAATTATATCAAATGAGACTTCCATACATTTATTAGTTAAACCTCATCAAGAGAACGACAAATACGTCAATTTACTTAATCAGTTTCCAGATTTATTACGACCGAGTTTCAAACACGACAAACCGACGCATACCGTCGTACACCACATAAAGACAGAGGGTCCACCAGTGTTCGCACGTCCAAGACGCCTTGATCCCTCTCGTCTGGCTATCGCAAAGAACGAATTCAACAAAATGATTGAGTTGGGCATCATACGCCCCTCCGATAGTCCGTGGGCATCACCGCTTCATATGGTACCTAAGAAAAACTCTTCCGAAGTTAGACCGTGCGGTGACTATAGAGCTCTCAACAGCCGGACCGTACCAGATAGATATCCTCTCCCACATCTGCATGACTTCACTCATAGCCTATCTGACGTGTCGATCTTTTCAAAAGTTGATCTCGTCCGTGCTTACCATCACATTCCAATTCATCCGGACGATGTTCCTAAAACAGCCATTACTACCCCCTTTGGACTATACGAATTCGTCCGCATGCCTTTCGGATTAAGGAATGCTGCACAAAGTTTCCAGCGTTTTATCGACCAAGTGGTACGGGGCTTACCGTTTGTGTATGCTTACATAGATGACCTACTTATAGCAAGCAAAGATGAAAATGAACATCTAACGCATTTGAAAATGCTTTTTGAGAAGCTAAACGAGTATGGGTTAGCGGTCAATCCTGACAAATGTGAGTTCGGAAAACAATCCCTCACCTTTTTAGGTCACGTACTTGATAAGCAAGGCATTAAACCAGTTCCTGAGGAAACACAAGCTATCAAAAATTATCCTTTGCCTGATTCATTCAAGAAACTACGACGTTTCCTTGGGATGATCAACTTTTACAGACGTTTTATCCCTAAATGTGCAGACTTAGCAAAACCACTAACTGATTTATTAAGGGGACGAGCTAAATCATTAGCAATGACACCGCAAGCAATTCAAGCATTTGATCAGTTGAAAAGCGCTTTAAGCACAGAGGCATTACTCGCACGACGAAAGGTTGATGCACCTTTAGCAATAATGACCGACGCTTCTAACGTAGCAGTAGGTGCTGTACTTCAGCAACGTGTCAATGAACAATGGCAACCCCTTGCATTTTTCTCAAAAAAGCTCAACGCAACGCAAACAAAATATAGCACATTCGGTAGAGAACTGTTAGCTATCTACTTAGCCATCAAACACTTTCGCTATATGTTAGAAGGCAATTCTTTCACGATATATACTGATCACAAACCTCTAACTAAGTCCTTGATGCACAATCATGATAAATACAGTCCGCGCGAAATTCGTCAACTAGAATTCATTTCACAATTTGCAGCTGATATACGCTATATTAAAGGCAATGCAAATGAGGCAGCAGATGCACTATCGAGATTAAATATCAATACCTTCTCGACCCCTGATATAGACTATCAAGAAATGGCAAAGCATCAAAAGCTCGATACGGAGCTACAAAAGCTTTTGCAGTCTAAGGAAACGAAATTATTATTCCAAAACATCCCCATTAACAACAAGGACACCTTAGCTTGTGATACCTCAACAGGTAAAACTCGCCCTTTTGTACCCTTCGGTATGAGACGAAATATTTTTGAGAAATTACACAATATATCTCATCCAGGTATAAAAGCCACTGTAAAGCTTGTCACAGATAGATTTGTATGGCCAAAAATAAACAAAGACGTAAGAAAATGGTCACGGGAATGCGTCCAATGCCAAAAGTCAAAAGTACATAGGCACATCATATCTCCTACCGGAATTTTTCCCGCCGCTAGCGCTAGGTTCGACCATATTCATATCGACATTGTTGGGCCGTTACCGATTTCTAATGGTTACACGCATATACTAACATGTATAGATAGATTTACGAGATGGCCCATAGCTGTTCCGTTAAAAGACACGTCAGCATCAACAGTGGCGAAGAAGCTGGTGAAACACTGGATTACAAACTTCGGTGTCCCTACAACAATTACGACCGACCGTGGAACGCAATTCGAAAGCAAACTATTTCAGCAACTTACAGATACTTTCGGTATAAAGAGAATTAGAACCACTGCTTATCATCCGTCTGCTAATGGAATGATAGAGAGATTCCATAGACAGTTAAAAGCCTCTTTGACGGCCGCACGAGGAGATTACAAATGGGATATCAAGCTCCCTTTGATACTATTAGGTATTCGCTCAACCATCAAACAAGACCTCGGTTGTTGTGCTGCTGAGTTGGTTTATGGAACAACATTACGTTTGCCTGGTGAATTTTTTGACCGTGCAACAGATATTCCAGCAGATATAACCAACTACGTACAACAATTAAAACAGCAGATGGAATCCATTAGGTCCGTTAAACCACGAACCCAAAAGGTGAAATCATTCGTACCCAACGAACTAGACAAATGCTCACATGTATTCGTCAGAAATGATAGAGTACGACAGCCGTTACAGACTCCTTACGACGGCCCTTTTAAAATCATCCGAAAGGACACTAAAACGGTTACAGTGGAAAGAGCAGGTAAACATGATACAGTTAGCATCGATAGAGTAAAACCAGCATTTTTAGAGAACACTGAAAAACAGGCAACTGTAAAACCGTCTAAACCCGCAGCAGAGCAAGCACCATTCAAACTACCTGCAACAAGCAACATTTCAAATCAAAATTCAGCAGCAGCACAAACTACAACAAGATCAGGAAGAAGAGTACATTGGCCAGATAGGTATGTAGCAACCACTATATTTATCTAGACCAAATCCTGAGACTACTCTTATAACACATAAAAATCCTACTTTATATTGATTACTATTTTTTTTATTGGCCCCACGGATCACCATTATGCTTACATTTTAACTTTATACAATTCATTAATGTTAAATTTACACTTGTATATACATGATATGAAACGTTTCAACACACAAGCTGTTATTACAATTTTACGCTTACTCATCATATTGAGTTGTACTTTTATTTTAAAAACAGTTCCGTTCTTTATCTCTTTGTCGAACATAGATGTTAATCGAATTTTTTTTTTTTTGGTACATAAAAACATCAATGTTCTGGATGGGAGCTTATGTAGCAAGCCCTTTTGGCTACTGTATCATTTGTCTAGTCATTGTAACTCAGACTCAATTCACTATGTTAATTTCGGTGTGTATGATCGAATGCATGTCTGTACATTAACTCTTAAGCTATTCTCCTATTGGTTGCAATGTGCAGATAATCGATAATTTATCCACACCCGATTAACTCTCAAATATATATGGATTTTTAACTCACTCACACACACTCTCTCTGTTTCATCGTGTGCTTGCTCATCGTGCGCTTGTGGATTATTATTATTCATTAACAATAAACTATCTCTATAACTGGTGTTCAGGCTTTTTAATAATCTCGAGTAAATTCGCAATTCTACTAGGAGATTAAGCCTAGCTAAAATACTCAGTTACGGGATATTATTATTTGGAGTCAGATATTGAGGACATTATCCAAAGATTACGTCACTCAACACTTAACCGCACAAATTCAATCCACAGTCACTCCAAACATATTTATTGATAGGAAGCAAGGTATCGTCGGTTATTATTCAAAAGAAGCCAAGGTAGTTTTTAACATTAGTTCTGTTGGAATTAAGATAAAGCTTTAAATAAAATCAACGATATAATGAGCTCATGTTAGCATACCAGTTGTTATGAACAAAAAGAACCAGCAATTAGATAGTATCAATGAGACTGGCCATCATACAGTGAGAATATTAGCGTGTTTTTACAAAATGAGTTGTTTCAAAATGTAAGTTACATGATTTCTGAAGACTACAAATGTGTATGAAAGTGTTAAACAAATAGTTTATTCCTTACATCCTTGTATATATAAATGTATGTATAAGGCCAACTTTGAAAAGAGCTAGTATAAGTAACAAAATACAGCTGTAAATATTGAAAATGAATTCAAGTAATAACAACCAATGAATTTTCAAATGAACTACCATACATGGAAAGATATACAAATGAAGGAAAAAAGCACTTAAGGGAATAGGCTTATATATATATGTTTACATTAATAAATAAACTCTAAGAAAAACACTGAATAACGAGGCTTTACACCAGGTTTTGATGAAATGAGAAAACATTTATCAAAAGTTAATGAGTATTAACTATTTGTCAACATGTTCCTGAGTATTGGAAACATGTTATAGTAAACATTTACAATCCTAATTGTGTATTGTATGTATTGAATGTTATACAACTTACTTTTATTTTTCTTAGATGAAACAATAGAATTATATACTTTGATGATATGAATAGTCGAGTTATTTTTTGAAAGGGAATTTTCGGAAGCTGTTCAGATTTTTGTTATTGTTGTCATTATTACTAATACAATTATTAGTGAAGACAATTTGTCACATTTGAATTAGAAGAGAATTGAGTAGAACAATTATTTCCCCCCTCAATTCTGATGTTAATTCAATTTATACAAAACAAATGTATATTAATATATATGTATAAACTGGTCTATATACATATATATAGAGATATTGTTTACTGAATAAAATATACACACAATTACTGGATAAATTGAAGTGATATTTCAAGTGAACCATATGAAAAAAAGCATAGAATAGAATAGAATAGAAAGTGAATAAATTTCAACTATAAAATCTTTGGATTAAAGATAAACACATACATTCATATATTTGACAGCAGTTAAATCAACGAATAGATAAGAATTTAGGGAAAGCAATTTAGATGATAAATATCACATTACATATTTAACTTTCACTATATATATATATATATATATATATATATATATATATATATATATATATATATATATATATATAAACTATCTATTGACAGAAGAATCATGAGCCTGACGTATAGTACTGCTAGTACCAGGTGCCAAACTACCTGGAATAGTAGAACCTCGATTATATTTATCCACAACCCGTTGCAGTCTAGCATTCTCTGCCTTAAGATCTTCCAGTTTTGATTGAACCTCTCTCAGCTAAAATTTTTAAAAAAAGTACAAAAATGTGCAAAAAAGCAATTGTACAGTCTATAAGGTCAGAAAAGTATTAAGACAATAACAGACACAGTATTTGTCTATTATTTATGTAAGACACTTACTTCATCAGTAGAGTTAATCTAAAGAATAATATTATTACAGAGTCTTAAGCGGTGTGATAATTTAATGTAAACTAATAATGCTATTCAATAATTTAAATACTGGTTAATAGTAAATACAATAGGTATATGATGATGATTAAGAATATGCAATTTTTGTGAATTCATGATTGATTCTATTGAGTGTTAGATAATACTGAAAAAAAGTAATTCGGAATGAAAACACTAAAAGATATTGCTATTTTCAAAGAAACCATGAAAAACAAACAGATACTGTAATCAATTATTCATCTAGATAATTGTTTACTTTCAAAAAAAATTTTCTGGAATACATAGATTGCGATTAGTAGTGAAGACTAGGATGCAGGTTTCGCCCTATTTCGGACTCTTCACTTGGATGTACCTGTATCGCATCACTGTTAATGTTCATGCTGAGGTTCGAATCCAATACTTATCATTTCTAAGTATCAACGAGTAATCCACTAAGCTACCCATTTCAGGTAGCCACAAATTTGTAAAATGAGTATAGCGTTTATATCATTATCCGTAAGAGTTTGAACTATCCTGATTTTGATATTCAGGACTGAACTTTGGTCGGTCTTAATTTGAACTCATGCTATCTAGCATCAGTTCAAAAATGTTTGTTCTGTTTGAGCCTTTAAAAAAACGTACACATACTTTTCGGAAACTCTACCATAAAATATACAAACTATCAAACTGTTACCTGTTAAACATTTTGATAAACTTTTCAACTTAAATCATTGTTTATATAAAATAAATAGAATGTGGCTAGCAGTTGAATCTAGAACATGTGTTTCGTCCCGTTTGGAAAATATCAAACTAATGTATCTGCAGTCGAAACAATTACAGATTAAACTAAATCGCTACTGTTTATTTTGTTTTTATCAGTTTGAAATAGACACAGATTTTATCAAATTTTTAAATTGCGCTAATTATCAGTAATCTTTGTATCCATGACAGATTCATCATTAAACAAAATATCAACTAAATCAAATGTCAAGAAAATAAGTAAAAAAAACCCTCAACATGGGCTAATAATAATGAAAATTTAGCTGAACTGAAATAAACTAAGCTAAGAAGACCTCACACACAAAAAACTTACCTCACGTTGACATTTTCTTCGATCTTGTTTTAAAATTTCTTCTTGTTCTTCACAAGCATCAGCTATGGCTTTATATCGTTTAGTTTGACCTTCCAAACGCACAATCTATAAATTGAGATTATCCATTCCATTAGATGGTTGTTATATAAAATTCATTATGACAATTTAAGAAAAAATTCTGTGAGTGTAACCACAAGAACAGTCTAGTTAATGAAAATTATCAAAGAGAATGATTACGAGGTGGATTAGTCAGTCAATCAAATGCAACGTAGAACCTGGCATATCCCCACATAGCTTCAAGTTTGTACAAGGAGGCACCGAAATATATGTGCGCCACACTTCATCATTCGAATTGTGTGAGGGCTGCGATACTAACCAGGCGCCCAAACCAATGCATATGGTTTTCTTTGGGGACCACTCTCAGAGTTTTCGACTCAGAGATCTAATCCACAAAGCAGTGGAGTAATTTTAAGAGAGGCAGTCTCATGGTAGCCGGTGATCAGCAATAGGTCACACACCATTTTTCCCCCAGGATCCAGGGGCCCATGTGCACCATTAGTTTGGAATCAGGGTTTTCCAACTTCCCTAGGTGAATCCTCTATAACCAACAACCCTAAACAAAAAACCCCGCCACGAGAAGGCAGTCCTGTATACGCGTAGTCATATGAGGGTATTCGGAGAGAGCGGGGATCCCTCACTGTCAACCGTACCAGGGCATTTCGAGGCTTCAAGTTCTTACATGCTATCATTAAAGTAAGAGAAGAATGTAAAGGTTAGTTTCAGAGATGTAGTTACAGGATTAACAGCTCCGGGAAAATATTAGACATTCAAGATACAACTCGAGGGAATTAGCGAAATAATGAAACAAAAATTTGCAATGAATTCAAAAACTTAGAATCTAAGGAAAAACAAAGAGTAGATGGATCCGAGTTATTACGAACCATTTTAAGCCATATTATACAAATTCTCTAACAAGATATCCTAACTAATGGTTATAGACTTTGAGTAATATAACACAGAATCGGTCACAATGGAGTAATTCTCTTAAAGTTCTTAGAAAACGTTTTTGGATTCTGTAAATCTATATTTTTTTTAAAAAAATCTATGCCTGATTATTTTTACAACCGGTAGTACTGTTATTACTACTTATACTACCTTAGCAGCTCTGTTCTGATGTTGTAACAGCTTGAACTGATACGCATATGTACCATGCCCTATGTTGCATGACTAACTGGACGAGAACAATAGAATATATGATGGTTTAGTAGGAGTATTCGCAATAATAGTACTATCTGAGATTTACTTCAGCTTATTCATTGAAAAAATTATGAGCTTGAACGCTGTCATCCCTAATACAGTATTATACTTTATGTCTACCGATTTTCAATATCCTTCAATTTAGTAATTATATTCCATTTATATTCTGTTTTCGTTCTAGCCTATTATAAACATTTTAGACAACTGAAAACCATCTCGATCATTTTTGTTAATGATGCCAAAGTTCCTTATTTTACGGAAAATTTATTATTAAAGCTGTATACTTGTATTACTAGTTAATCAGTATACATGTGGCGTATGCTACTTATGTTGACAGATATGAGTTGTATGTAGCCGCAATCAGAAGTGGAATGCTTGGTAGAAGATTCAATTAAAAGTAACAGAAGAAAAATAGAAGAGCAATCGAAATAACAACAGAATTAAAGGAATAATCAAGTAAGTAAAAGACAACGCAAAGAAGATATGCATATGATGTATTTATTGTATGATTTTCATATTTTGCTTAACAACAGTGTGATTATTCATTAAACAATAAAACTGGTTATCCCCACTTAAGTTCTCGTCCACTACATTCATAGATAACACTGTTGAAAAGATTATTTCCTTTACTGATTTGTCTTTATTTGTTTTTCAACGACACAAATAGTTTATTCCACTAACCCATAAACACTGAATACATATTAGCTTGATTAATTATCGTCTTAAGTTTTAAAACAGAAACAAATTATTTATTATGAACAGTGTAAATAAATAAACAATAGTGATAAAAGTTTATGCTTTCTAGAAATAAATAGCCCTACGGAAAAAAACATTTCACATAATTCATGATGACGTTAAGAGTTAATATAGAAAGCATGAAAAGTTTACACTAATAATGCTTAATCCAGTGGTTTTTATTATTTATCTAATGTAATTCTCAAAGCCATAAACAGGTGCTATTGATGTTGAATTACAAAACAATGCAAAATTATCAGTATAGGGTTGTGGAGATCGTTGAGTTTAAGTTGAGGTCATGAATCGAGTCCCGTGTTAAGAACCGTGGGTGAGCACTGTTGAGGAGTCTCACACTATGACGAAACATCTGTCCATTGCTTCCAGGTTTTCAAAGGTGGTCTAACACTAGTCGATCCATGGTCTCGGTACAAAATTAGTTTAGTTACTTGTGTATTGTCAAGATTTCAATCAATAAGAAAAAATATAACGTTAAGAATTACTCGTGGACTGATTTCAGTCACTCACCTTGTAAAGTATTACATAACTTCAACTAGTCGACAATAATCAAAATACAGTATATATGATGGAAAATCATGTAAAACTATGTAAAAGAATACAATAGCCAAATATAAATATATTAACACTAAGTACTTTGAATCAATAATATCGCATTAATTTTCCTCAAACCAATGTTTGATAATACTTTGATTCCCATTTGTTAATTACACTTTTTTTCAATATCAGTTAGTAAGAAGACATTGTTTCGAGTAAGACAAATTACTACCAAAAATATTGTTGTGAATGCTAACGAATATCCACAAATGATTTGTATCGTTGACGACCAAAAACAAAACAGGTTGTTTGTTAGTCACTATGACTAGGTAATATTTAATACAAATGTAAACATAGACACACACATCTACGCTTGAAGGTACAGAAATATTATAAAAAGCGAAGGAAAGATTTCTAGCATAGAATATTTACATTATAAATGACCAGATCTGTAACTAATTTGCATATATATATCAATGCACATCATCCTGGCCTTTTAAATCCATAATACTTTCTACTGAATTGATTGTAGGTACTGTTGTAATTAAAAACAGTTCAAAATGGAAACAAAACAATACATTATTAGTATTATTATTACTATTATTGGAGTGCAACCGCATGGCAAATTAATGTATTGATAAACAAACTGAATGTACACGTTTCACAATAAAGTCAAAACAACATATTGAAAAGATGTGTTTACCATGTATACATATTTACTTAATCAATATCTATTCTAATGAACTGTAGGTAAAAACGTTATGTTCAAAAAAACAAGTTGGTTGTGCACAACTGAAGTGTATGTATTTGGCTACGGACCAACACAACACATACAAACACACATATAAGGTAGGAAACACGTGACCGATGAAACAATATTTCACTCGTGAAAGTCATGGTGCATTTTTGCTTTCAATAGTTGTTTAAGCAGATATTCCGATGGATGTAAAGGACATATCATAGACACAAAGTAACAACTAGTAAATATTGGACAGATTAATTGGAAACACAGGAGTTGGAAGCTATTTGCTGTATATTTTTACTGGCTGAAATCCAAATACAAAAAAGAGGGCGCCAGGTTAAATATGGTGTCATAACTAAGCGGGAGATAATATGCGTAGGAAGGCGTAACTATCTTTGATGGAGTATGTGTGAAAATTATGATTCATAAGTGAAGATTTTAAACAATACGACTAAAAATGTTTCAGTGACACAGATGTGCTCATGTTAGGTAGTGAGATTCGATAATAATTTCATATTTTCCAATGCTCATGTTTTATTCTTTTATTCTGAGGTCATACGTTTCATAATCGAGATATTTTTTAATAATACAAACACTAACACTACTTCAATTTCTTTAGCTATGAATCTTGTTAGTATCCTTAAGCGTTGACCTGATGGCATAAAGTGTGACGATGTGCATGCGTTTGTAGCAAGTTGTACACTGTTTATGATTGATCAACGCGATGTTTCTGCTACAAACTTATCATGCATCAATTTCAACGTTAACATCATTCTACACAGACTAGACACTTTCTACATAAGAGGTAAAGTAATAATGAAGAGTAGTAATAAATGTTAAACAAGAAAATAGCAACAATATACACAATAACACTGTAAATACTAAAGTCATAGATACTAGGGGCTTAAGTATCGATGGGAAAAAGACATCAACACAAATGCATACTAACATATATTTATATAATGATTGAAGTGACACATTAACACCGTTGGATGTCAGCTTAGTGGTCTAAAGTTAAGCGTTTGTGAGCGAGACCGAAGGTCATCGGTTCTATTCTCGCGTGTGAGGTCGTGGTTGCGCACAGCTGAGCAGTCCCATACTGGAACAAAACAGCCGTCCAGTTTTTTCAGGCTTTCAGTGGTGGTCTAATATTGATTGGTTCATGGTTTCAATGAGAACGCGAAGCCCAACAGAAAGTATATAAATTTTTGGTGTCAGAGTTACACACCACTATATATATATTGAAAATAGTGGTCAGGACAGTGGAATAGCCATATATTCGCATTTGCTAGGAAGACCTAAAATTACAAATCGCAGTTCCGTCGTGTAAGGAAGCTTGTGAAAACTCCCATCCAAATCATATTTCCCCACTAACCTTTCGTGATATCTGGGAAATTGTTCCCGCTATTCATTTGTTATCTATCGAATCTCTTTATATGTCTACTACGCGAAAACTTAATACTGACTTCCTAGCCGCTTTCTAGATTTCCCGTATAATTCCTTCACTTGGACCGCAAGTAGTAGAAAAAAGGCACGAAGTAAGAATAGAAGTTTTGTTTCAAAGATCACTTATGTGCAGAAAACGAGAATATCTATAGGATTAAGGGTGGCCTTGACTTTCTAGGGGCTTTCGGAGACACAAAAAACTTAATAACAAAGTAATTATCAAATCAAGCTGCAACACAATCCTTAGTTTCTCTAGACGTTTCTGGGATCTTTTTGTACACAATGATAATTGGATGAAATGTTTTTAGCCTTTTCGCAGCTTTTAGAGACAACAGCAGAGAATTTTTGAAGCTCCGCGCACTTATGATCAAATAGTTGGAAATACAGTTTCAGATAAAACTTTAAGGAGTGTGACAATTAATGATACTAACTGGCATTTGAGACCGAAATAGACAGAAATGAATCTAAACTTAAACAATCTTCTGCTTAAGACCCAGAGTATGATAGACATCGCTTACAATTTGAAACATTAAATTGATAATTAACTCATTCAAGAAAAAAAACAATTTAAAGCTACAAAATGAAAACCAAAACAGTTGTGAATCTTTTATCAGTCAACATAAATAAATTGTTCTATTTAATTAAAAATTTAAAGATGGGCGTAATAAAAGTCTGCGAATAATGAAACTCACATCGCTTTCAAGAGCTGATATCTTCTGAGATGATTCATGAAATTTCAGTTTATATTCTTGAGCTTGATTACGACTTTCTATTGAGAAATAAGTTTTTTCCAGAAAAAAAAACAAGGTAAAAAAAGAAAGGACGATAATTGGAGAGAAAATAATAAAATAATCGTCATATGGATCAAATTTACTAAAAGGTATAAATGAAGGGTACTTTTTTCAATGAATTCTCAACAGGTCCCACTGTTATAGATTCAAATGCATATTTAAAAGGGGTAACGCCAAGATTAAAGAGAAACACTCCATTTAGAATTACAATTTCTGAAATTTAGGATTGTTAGTGCGAAAATAAAATTGAAATCGCTAAGATTAGCATGAATCTCCCTATAGATCAATTAGAATTATGTGATATGTAATCAGAGTAAATGTAGATAAAAATTTTAATGTTGAAGTGACTAATGTGCGATGTTAACTGTACTTTAAACGATGTATTTGCACTTGGCGTTATCCCCTATGGAACATTAATTTGGCAGAAGGTGTTTATTGAAGTGTCAAAATGTATAGGAAAACAGGTGTATTTACAGTTTTTGGGACAGATTGTAACATCATTATGATCCAGCCTAATTGCAAGCAGAGTATTTATAAAAACAATCCGATCACAGAATGTCACGTCGATACTCTGGAAAATTCTATCGGGATATGACTGAACGGAATTTCTTCGTCTCCTTTAGAGCAGCTGGAGGCTTCGTTGCGTCTTCCGGGAGCCGTTCCAACAACTTACACTATTACTACTCTGGTATTTATATTTGATAATTTGATTATGTGGTGTTTTGATATAAAGCAGCAAATATATATGTCCCAGGTTCTACACCATTTACGATTTATTGATCTATATATAAAACATAAATATTTATTCAATTCCATTGTTTAAAGGAAAATTTGTTTCCCACATGATTAACTCCACCGTCACACCGAATTCCTATTAAAGTTGAAGACATAGAACTGCTGAAGGCAGTCAGCAAGGTGTGTGGTGAATCTTTCAAGGTCATAATTAATATGGTTATGGATAGACATCTAAAGTCATGCAAACTACTGGTAGGTGTTATTTTATCATATACTAACCATCCCCTTCACTCTTATCTTACTCCTTGTATATCTTATGGTAGAACGAGACGTAATCACATTAAACTCCATGCACGCAAGCAGAAGTATAAAATTTCTATAATACCTTACCTAGCAAATATACTCTGTGACGAACAGGTTGTTAGAGTTAACCTAGTCAATAACCTGCATTCTTAACATGTCTCTAATTTGAAAAGTTGTACAGTTTTTCAGATTTTTTTTAAACCTTTTTCCCTTTTTTGTCTTTGTTTTTGTTTTTTGTGTAAGAAACTTGTTGAAATACACTATGCTGAAAATTCTATATTGTACCAAAATATAATATTGAATAAAGCCATTAATAATAATAATAATAAATTAGGGGGGTAAATAAGAGAGATGTAACTACATACATATTTTTACTGTGTAGTCACTAAATACTTGTATTAAAGTAATTTTTATATTGTTGTTATTCTTCAGCTTTTATTTCATTCATTGAACGTTACTATATGTTTCACCATTCTTAAATTATTGTTGATTAACCATATATATATTGCTAAGTTTTCTCAGTACATATGACTTAGTTATGTGAACATTGTGATATTTTGTGATGCGGAGTTGTGGTCATTTAATTACTATGTATAATTCTGTGAGCTTTAGAGTCAGAATAACAATGAAAGATAACATGATATGTTATTTTAATTGCAATCGTTGTCTACTGATTGGTCACTGAGAATAGAAGCTAGGTGGACCAATAAGAAATAGAACTCCACGACCACTGTTATAGCGTTATCGGATGTAAGTGAATGTGTCATTAGAGGACTCGCTAAAATGATGTGACTCGATCAAAAGGATAATATGTGTTTGAATTTATAACACAGAATTTCACCCAGTGATTTAAATGTACTGAGTACATAACCATACAGTAATATGTCCTACATGTCCAATACTGTGCGTTATTGGGTCATATTTATAGGATTTAAAAATTTTAAGCTATAACAAAATGTATGTATGAATGTTTTTACTTTCTCTCTAAAAATTTTCAATAACAGGTACTCGATTTGTAGTCAAATTGAAGGGATTGTCATCAATATGTACAGAAATAATTTACCTATACTGTTGTATCAATAAACAAAGAAAAATACAATATTTCTAATTTAATAAGATTGAATTATTTTACTTGGATTGTTAAGTCAACTACTTCAATCGTATTATGGTGTATGCTAGTTATGTTGACAGATATAAGTAGTAGTTAGCCGCGATCGGAAGTGGAATATCTGGTAGAAGATTTTATTGAAGGGAACAGGAAGGAAATAGAAGAGCAAACGAAATAACAACAGAATTAAAGGAATAATGGAGTAGATAAAGGACAGCGCAAAGAAGATATGTAAATGATGTATTTAATATATGATTCCCATATTTTACAAAAGTACTGTGTAATTTTGCATTAAATAATAAATTACCTTTTCCCACCTGAGTTCTCGTTCATTACAGTATTAATAAAGATTCGAAAACATGCGATGATTGGAAAAAAACTATAAGCTTATTAGACGAATCAGTAATAAAACACTGAATATTAATAATGATTATATTTTAAATGGCGAATTTGCCATTAAGGCTTTCTCTAGTTTCTTTTTTTCAAACTCAATACTTTGATAATGAGAACTAGAAAATGTTAAAACTGATATAGATGAATATAAATCATTACTCTGATATATATAAAGAAAATATTGATTTGTAATGGATACAGAAGAGAGAGAAAGAGGACAAGTAAACACAAATGTACATGCCCACACACACGCGCACGCAACATAGCAACTTCAATTTCAAATAAACCCTTCAACAGAGTCATTCATATAAAAGAAAGTGCAAATATGCATATCAATACTTACACAAATACAAACATACACATGCAACCATACATACACATAGATATTAATGTATCTACTTATTGATGTAAATATGATTCAGTTTCTCAACTGAATTACACAAAATTGATATTGCAAGTCATAGTGACCATAATTATTCTATATTCAGTCACGAGGTTACGAGGGAATTGTGATTCATAAAGTTATTTCATTGTAATTTTATAGATATTCCATTAAAGTACTAAGTATTAAATAGAAGGCTATTGAAAAACTCATATTGGAAAGATAATAATAGTAAAAATAAAAATAAAAGCAAAAATAATAATGACCAAGATTAAAACAGAAGAAAGTAGTAAGCAAATATGGATAGTGGTTAGTAATGGAATCCAGGACGCGCGTTTCGTCCTATTTGGGACTTGTGAATTAAGGTAGTATCGCGGCAATACGCACAGGATGCACATATGCCAACAAGAGACTGATCAATCGCAGTCCTAAACATCAATCGGAAGATTCAAGTAAGCAATACCAAGTGAATTTAGAAGAAAGTACTATTTTAATTAAAATTAACGGATTCGCTTTTTACACCTATCTATCTAACCATCCATTTATCAGTGGGCCTTAACATACTACAAAGGAAAAGTCAAGATCCTCAAATACAAAACGGAGAACACCAACCCAATCACACTTGATGGAGAAGCTCTGGAGGATGTGGAGTCTTTCGTGTACCTGAACAGCACCATCGATGAACAAGGAGGATCTGATGCAGATGTGCAAGCACTGATTAGAAAAGCAAGAACATTATTTCTACAGTCGAACATTTGGAACTCAAAACAACCGTCAACCAATATCAAAGTCACAATCTTCAATAAGAACGTGAAGACAGTTCTACTATACGGAGCTGAAACTTGGAAAAGTAATACATCCATCATCAAGAAAGTACAAGTAGTTATAAATAGTTGTCTACGCAAGATACTCAACATCCATTGGCCGGATACTATCGACAACAACCTACTGTAGGAGAGCACAAATCAGCTTCCAACTGAAGAGGAAATTAAGAAAAGACGTTGGAGGTGGATAGGACATACATTGAGGAAATCACCAAACAGAACCACAGAAAAAACCCTAACTTGGAATCCTGAAGGGAAAAGGAAAAGAAGACCATGGAACACATCTCGTCGGGAATCGGAACCAAACATGGAGAGAATGAATAGCAACTCCATACAACTTGAAAGGATTGCCCAGGACAGCTTGATGGAGAGTGCTGGTGAGTGGCTTATGATCCTCCACAAGGTGTAACAGACGTAAGTAATCTATCCATTTATCCATCCACTCATCTATTTAAATTAGGTCAATAAGAAAGAAATGAATTGAAGTGAGAACAAATAGCAGAGAACATTTTATTTTTTGTATGAAAAACTAGAAAGTATCGATGATGGTGATACACAAACAATGAGATTTCTTTCTTTAGATAAACAGAATGCACTGATTACCAACAATTATATATATATATATATATATATATGAACACAAACTAGCGTATTTTATCAATGTGCATACACATATACTGGGGCATATAAAACAGTACTTTACCCAAAATAGAAAATTAATTATTTGCATACAAACATACACACAAACACAGGACGACAATGAATTTCCATCATTGTTTGACTGAACATAACTATTGTGGTATAATAAAGTCATAACATTCGTAGTTTCGTCACAGTGAGATACCATCATCAGTCATATATTTCGAAAACAAAAAAACAATGTCAAACGAAATTAGATAAACAAATGGGTAAAATACCAGATTAGGAAACAAGAATAGAGAAATACGATTCAATATGTTTACATTTTTGGAGAAACCACTTCAGCAAAATTTCAAGTTACAATATTAATAACCAGAAGTTGTGTTATACATTGTTCAACTAAACATACTTAAACTTATTGTTCCTCTATATAATGAATTTTTTGGTGTATTAATGCATTGATCTAGACAACACTTTACTTCCGATCGACAGATCGAAAGTTTAGTCTAACACATTCCACTTATTAGTATTTGAATAGAATTCATTAACCTACAATACATGATTGGTGTGCTTTCGTAGACCGATAAACAAATCGATATGTATGGAAGAATTTATTCGACTTTTTGAAGAAAAGAATCACTAGTCTGATCTATTAAGGTAAATTTGTTGTACACTTCCTAATTTAACATGGATAAGACTGTTGGACCTGATTATTAAAAAAAAAAATTATTTGACATGATTTAAAATCTGTAGTATTCTTACCGAGGTAAAATAAACCAATTTTTTGTGTATCGCCTATCTTTATTAACTTGTTATTAATTTCTTACTGCTGCTGACACCATTATATTCATAGGATTAGAAATCTACTAGTTGTTTTTTTCTCTTTGAAGAAATGATTCTTGTTTAATGACTTAGTTTCTAGAAATGGATAACCATTTTCATGAATTTATGTCAGGACGCCGAATGAAAAGGGATAAAATCGCGTGAATATTCAGTTCAGAAAATCGTTTACTGTAGAGATTAGTTCCGTTTAACGTTAAGTATTGGTTACCATATCAAGTAGTGCAAAATTGAGTATATTGTTATTGATTGTTAGAAATTTGGAAGCAATCGGGATGAAGGGTCAAACTAAGGTATCATGCTAGTCAGAACTTATAACTACAATTCTGAGGGAAACGTTCTATAGTTGTGGACTTACATATTCCTATTTGAAGACGCTGAAAAAATGCAGAACGTCTGAAGCAACAACAGTGCTAGTGTTTGAGATGGGTTCCTTTCCATCTAAATATAAAATGTTGCTTCAGGACTGGTTCGCATCAACCTCAGAACTAGTAATAGGCAGTGAAGAGTTGATTGTGGTGAGTTAGTTGGCTTTGCCAACTTGCGTCAATCGCGTAGTAGATGAGATATCCATCTGCTAACTAAAGGACGGTTACATTGAGCACCAGTTCGCCCTTTTCTACTTTATGTTTGTGTAAACGTCACCTCTAAAAGTAAAGAACGTTTGCAGTTTACTAGAATTCCATCATACAAGTACTCCTTGTACATTTAGGGACCATCAAGTCAACAATTTCGAGGTTAACAAGTAGGGTACCATGTAGCGAATCGTGATCGACTGAGATGGTTAGGACATGTAAACCACAATGATAATGTACCAGATTGTACCACTGAGCGACTAATATTAGAACCGTACACAGAGTATCAAATGTTCCTTCAACATTGCAAAGATTTTTTATAAGCACCAACTAGAACAAAACTTAAATTTATGACTTCTGTACGACTATCTACAACCACCTAACTTCCACATATGTACATATAGTGGAGATGTGACCTAGTGGTTTAAAACTTCCACCATTAGCTATCAAGTCGCAGGTTCGAACCCTGCTCAACTGCTTCAGTTTGAGTAACTGACCAGCACTACTATCCCTCGTAGTTAGAATGTGATTCAAAGTCAAGTATACGAACCCGTACTCAATAAATGGGTATTCAATGAAATTATAGTATTCGTTAACATATGTATACTTATTCAGTGCATAAAGCAATGTCTCTGATATAGAGTAATTAAACTTTCATATAAAAGTCATTTATATTAGACTGTATTACACACCTTTATATTATAGGACATACAATTTAAGCATTGACAAGAAGCAATTCAAGCTTCCAAGATGTAACATAATATGCATAGTATATTAGAATATAATTGAATATCCTATTGAAAAACCTGATCAAAAATTCCATCAATCGACTTAAATCAATTTAAGATTTCCAAGAAAATATTACATTTAAATTATTTATTAGAATCGGGATCCAAATTAATGTTTATATATCCAATTTCGTAATATAGATCAATTAAGCATGTAAGAAAAAACAGTTCTAAACCAAATGATATTTAGAATAAATTATCAGTAAAAACACATGATTCAGTAGAATTGAATTAAGTGTTTTTCTAATGAATGACGCAGAATATAAGTTAAATAGATAGTTGAAAATTTACTAAGATCAAGAAACTACTAAATATATTTACTAGGAATTGGAAAAGAACTTACAAAATTTATGGATTTTCCTGAGAGACCTCATCAGATACATCATCATTGAGATAAACAGTCAGTCAGGCATCATCAACGTAAAAACTGACACATGTGTATGTTGGTCCAAAGTGCTTTATTATACTAACATAAAATGAAGTTAACAAGACGAATACCAAAGGATACGAAATAATTGTAGTGGCAACAATGGTAATGGAGGAAAAAATGTGCGAAGACGGAACGAAAAGAAACAACGATATTACCCAGATATCCAACTCACAGGAAATAGAATGGTACTTCAACCTAAGATTAAATATCTTAAAGCCAAGTGTTCCAACCAATTAGTGGTTCTCCTAAACACTTCGATTAGGGTAACCAAGCTAGATCACTACACTCCATACAACAGATAAGATTCTTAAACCGGACTATAAAAACCTGTATTTAGCAAACAAGTTGCAGTAAATAGACAAAAAATATTTGAAATCAACTGACATTGATTCTTACCCTCGTTAAATATTGCCTACCCAATGAAAAAACTAGGTTATAATATTGAAAGGTTCTCTGACCGATCAACTCGAAACACTTATTACTAGTGTTATGTTATTTCAAAGTGCATCAACCGATTGATAGGCATCGATAAAAGCTTAAAAAAAAACTTGAGAAAACCATTGATTGAAAAAGATGTATTGTGATCAATACCCTTACACATGGATAAGAAAATAGAGAACAATATTTAACAGATTCAACACAGAATCTAATAAATTTAATCAGCTTACGTTGTAGTTCATGTTTAATATCTTCTGCATTTGCTATATTTGTACGATTCTTTGAATCATAACGTGTAGTTGGAGCCTCGAAGCGTTTACGTTCTTCTCTTAACTGAGATTCTAATTCTTCAACTCGCGCATCTAATTCGGATCGCATACTAAACAACTGTTGAATTTGCTTATCTGCAAAAAAATGATTAAAAGAAAGAAAAAGTTAGTAATATCTAGTGTTAAACTTATACAAAAAAAACATTATTTTTCTATCAAGGCGTTTTGTGGAGATTAGTTTAATTTATTGATTCTTTATGGATTGACCTTAGCATACATACTTATTTACGCCTGTTACTCCTCATAAAGGAGCCTAGGCCGATCACCAGCATTCTCCATCCAACCCTGTCCTGAGCAATCCTTTCCAGCTCCTTCCAGTTTCTATTCATCCTTTTCATATCTGCTTCTATTTCCTGACGTAATGTGTTCTTTGGCCTTCCTCTTTTTCACTTCCCTTCAGGATTCCAAGTCAGGGTTTGCCTCGTGATGCAGTTTGATGATTTGCGTAATGTATGTCCTATCCATTTCCATCGTCTTTTCTTAATTTCTTTTTCAGCTGGAAGCTGGTTTGTTCTCTCCCACAAAAGGCTGTTGCTGATGGTATCCGGCCAACGGATGTTGAGTATCTTGCGTAAACAACCATGTATAAATACTTGTACCTTCTTGATGGTGGTTGTTGTAGTTCTCCATGTTTCAGCTCCATACGGTAGAACTGCCTTGACGTTGGTATTAAGGATCCTCACTTTGATATTGGTTGAAAGTTTTGAGTTCCATATGTTCTTCAATTGTAGGAATGCGACCCTTGCTTCGCCAATCCTCGCCTTTACGTTTGCATCTGAACCTCCTTGTTGCTTCCCAGGTATGTGAAGGATTCTACATCTTCCAGAGTTTCGCCATCTAGAGTGATTGGACTGCTGTTCTCCGTTTTGAATTGGAGGACCTTGGTTTATCCCTTGTGTATGTTGAGGCCTACTGATGCAGAAACTGCTGCTAGACATTAGCATAGGGATTAGTGAACACAAGGGAACACTGAATACATTTTTTATGTCAGCAGCGCCCACTAATGGCCTGGGTCAGTAATCGATAGTATTGAACGATCATCGTGTCTTACCACCTCTTACTACGATAGGTGATGTTAACTGGTGTAGAAATAGATTGGAAGAGATGTAGGAGTAACTAAATCAAGACGTGGTATCAGTCCACAAAGTCACTGATTATTGAGTTGACCCATGTTGGTAGATCCACGATAACGCCGGTTGAGGTCTGTGCGCTAACTTCAATCAGTGATTGGAAACGTTCGGCGACATGATACAGAATTGATTACAATAGAGTATTTATATCCATTCTTTATACTACTCTAGATCTTGAGCTCCAATATTTCGTCATACATAACTTTCCAAAAATCTTTTTGATTCATATTCTCAATGCTTAACCCTTATTATTATTATAACCACAATTATTATTATAACAATTCCGTCACTGCTCATCTTATTAATTTTATTTCATTGTGCAAATGTAGTATGAAAACTTTGGTCAACACCCATATATGTACCAGGATTTACTTTGAGCATGGCTGACTAACCGTACTATTTCCGTTTCAAAACGAATTAATTAACATTAAAGTTGAATATCATCATTAATTACCTGTTTTTTTTAAGAATCATATTATCTATGAGTCATCTTTCTACTACCACTACTCTTACTACTCTGATATTCTGAATTAGTAATTTCATCTCATTGTGATAATATGGTGTGGCAACTTGGACCGATATATATACGTGCCAGGTTTTTGGTGATTATGACTATCGAGAACTTGCTGACGTCGGAAATCCCAAATTCCCATATGGATCCTAACTGAGTGGCTTAGAAGTTGGGCGCTAGCTGTGAGATATGAATACACTATGGTTAAATAAACTTTTTGGCAGGTTCACAGACGTGGACTGTTGAAGAGTGCCATACCACGACGAAAGCTATCAAGATAATCCATGACCTCCGATGCTATCCCTAAATGATTCCAACTGACGAGGACAACCACTGAGGTGTTTTATTGTAATCAAGATAAAACGGTATGTAAACACCACTCAAACCGAAGAAGAATAACTACAAAAGTTAAGTGGTACGTTTTAAAGTTTTATGATGATGAGCAATAAATTTTTTTCGAAATGTTATGTATTAATAATTATGTTTCACTATAATCTCTGTTCAATAAGCTAACAATAAATATTTTAGTCAGTCCATTATATACAATGTAGGGCTCAACATATACATGGGCTCATGATGTTAAATTACATGAATATAGCTGCGGTGTATGCTGCTTATGTAAACAGACATTTGCAAATGGAGTATTTAATGTATGGTTATTATATTTTACCAAGAGATTCTGTAATTTTGTATTAGAAGAGAATTGGTTGTCCCACCTGTGTTCTCGTTCATTACACCACAAGGCTTAATGAGGCCGAGGTTTGGTTAAAGTTAAAGCGTTTGATTCTCAGCTACTAAATGGGACATTCGAGACTGGCTCCGTTTACGTCGGTCTGGGTAGCTGAGTTTTATCACTAAATCATTCAATATACTAGATAAGCCTTCCTAATAAATCAGTTCATCAACAACGTAGAACTTTGTACATATGTACATCAGTTCGAGTTGCCACACCACATTAGCACACAGATACAATTGTCAATTCAAACCCCGTAGTGGTAGAGGTAGTAAAAGTATAAGCATTAATCGGAAAGATTAGGGTTTGAAGATGTTATTCAAGGAGTATAATCCAGTGAAATAAATTTGGAAAGAGGAAAAAAGGGACATGAAGAATTCAGAAGATCAGAATTTGGGAGAACACAAATAGTGGATGCACCTGCGCCATTGCAAACGATTTTGAGCCATGTCATTGCTAACAAGAGATGACTAGCAAAGAAAACTAAGTTTGGAGCTTCTTATACGATTGCCTTCTTTATTTATTTGTTTATTTGAATACATAAATATTTGCACAAAGGGGCACCGAATACGTATGCGCCAGATGAGCCACTTGATTTGTGTGTGAGCTGTGATACTGCCCAGGTACCCAGACAGAAGCAGGTGGTTTTCTCAGAGGGCCACATCCGGAGCCTTCAACCTAAAGGTCAGATCCACAAGGCAGTGGATCAACGTCAGGAGATTCAGTCCTTCAACTGACTAAAATGCAAATCCGATTTAATATGCGAAAAGTTGGAAGAGATTCAGATATGGGATGGTTTGGTACCATCTTTTCACACTTATATGTATAGGATGAAAGTTGATGTGTTTTATACTCATATTTATATGCCCAGAAAAATGTCTGTTACCATTAATGCTGTAAGGATGATAAATAAGACCATGATTATGAAAATTAGTAATAAGACATATGCCAATGAATATAAAAGTCACACTGTTGGAATCATAGGGGGTCGGAGGTAGTCGACACGACACCCTGGTTGACCTAGGTTTCGTACTAGTTAGCACTCGTCAGCAGGACTTAGTTGTAATCTTGATGGAACCGATGCACCCTGTAGGGTTCGAACTCGCATCATCCAGCTCCACAGCCTGAGACGATTCTGTAAACTAATTGCAATCACCTAGTATCTCGACGTTGTGGGTGCGATGTCGAATAACTTAGACCAGTGGCCACATCACAACTTGATCAATAGAATTTGATCAGCACCTAAAAGACTAGACACACATGACATTGGTCACTACTACTCAGTGACCATACTATGCAATAGATCGAAAAACTGGTCTGCTCTCATGGATTGGATTAGTTAGACAGGAATTTGGACCTACAACTCAACGGACAAAGATTAAAGGCTTGAAATACTACTCAGTCACAACCATCACTTTTAACATCCTTACAGAAACTTCAAAGTTTACACCAAACCAAAATCTGTACAAAACACAGATCTGTAAATTAATCAGTTAACGAGCTGAACATTTACTACTTTACGATCTTACTTTTTTGTTGAACACACTGTATATGTAGAAAATTTCAAAACATTCTGCTTATATTCGACAAATGTGAAAATTATATCGAAATTAATTTGAATACAAAAATTGGTCAAAGTCAACTCTCAGGATTCAAACAAACACTTCTATACGAAATGAAATTTATCTATACAACAAACAAAATACTAATCACAATAAAAGACGTCACTCGTAAATCACAGAATTTAATATATATTAAAGAGTTAACCATTGCACCGTTCATTATGAAGTAGCTAAGCTAATGACAGGTATAGACAATTTGACTACGAAAAAAATTGAATCGACATTTTCATTCTTTACATATATGTATATGTATATGTCTATTTAGTACATTAGAAAAAATCGTATGTATCTTGATCTATCGATTATGATATCAATTGTATTCAATTAAACAGTATTTGTCTTCAATGTCCAACAAAAAAGGTAGTCTATATACGCTTGCAAATATGTGAATAGGCACAAGGCTGTGCATGTGTACCCATTCAAATATACACAATATTTGTTAGTTGGCTAGTTAACTAGATATAACAACACTAACACAATAAGGAGAAATTCCATGATAGTCGTCATCATTCGTGCTATTCATTTTATGTAGATACACAATATGTATAAAGACATGTTTATTCAACATTTAATGGCAGAAATAAAAACAAAGACAACAATAATAATGGCAATTAAAAATCTGTCAAAAGATTATCGACTTGTGATTGGCGGTGATGGATATCACAGAACAAGTACTTGAACATGTAAGCCATCTTTTACAATAAGAAAACGAGATATAAGGCAAAGAATCTCCTACACAATCTGTGGAGCAACGATGATAATAATGAAATTCCATCCAATCGCCACTAACCATATTGTTGGTAAACTCGATCCACACAAAGAAAGAATATGCGAGAGATCTATGCGCATATAGACAAATAGTTTCCAATCAAGCATAAAAAAATAGAACTGGATCATCCAAACAAGTTTTTTCATCAATGATGGACAAACTACGCATACACATGAATACAGATGTACAAAGAACAAAATTTACACACATACGTAAAGATGGACATTTAAATAGTTTATGACTACAGCTTGAACCACTGTTAAAATTTGAAATAAACATTGTGCATTAAGAAACTATGACATATATCATGTAAACAGTGTCCTTTTAGTGGTTAAATCATTTACACCTTCAACTTATAAGTCATGGACCTAAACTCTGCACCCTATCTTATGTGGTTTCAGCAGTCGGGGTAATATCGCCAACACTCTCCCACAAAAGTATGGCACGAAAATCAGATAAATCAGCTGAAAATTCATGAAAAACTAGTGAACATTGAACAGTCGTTTCGTCTTAGTTTAGAAATCCTCATTGATTCGTATCCTGGACGTGGTACGGGACAAAAGCTAACACCTTCAGGCCCCTAAATGCTCTGGTACGATCGAGGGTAAGGAGAGTTCTCTCCCTCACAACATGCTATCGCATAGTTACACTTATATAGCCATTGACAGGGAAGTCCTAATCACTACATTTCTGCAACGGAAGTGTTGCTCATAAAATTGAGAGAGCGAAAAGCGAATGTCCAGAGCTTTAACCGGGTTAGTGGATGTGGAGGACCCACCCAGGGGAGTTGCGAAACCCTGATTCCAAACCAATGGTGCACATGGGCCCCCGGATCTTGAAGGAACAAATGGCGTATGGCCTATTGCTGGTCACCGGCTACCATTGGACTGCATCTCGTAACGTTGCTGAACTGCCTCGTGGATTAGATCTCCGAATCAAAGGCTGTGAGAGTGATCCCCAAAGAAAACCACCTGCGTCGGTTTGGGCGCCTGTTCAGAATTCCATCCCCCACACAAATCGAATGATGAAGTGTGGTGCACATACATTTTGGTGCCGCTTTGTACCAATGTTTGTGTTTAAATAAATGTATAATAAATAGAGCTGAACATAGTTTTAGGTACTTGAACCGGAATCTAACACTAAGCATAGATTTTCCCAAAGTTCTGGTGAGAAGATGTAACTTGTACGGCCAAACGAATAGATACTGAAACAATAACTCACCAACAGCAAATTACGAAGATTCCGCAATATCACAAGTTGACTGAGGTGCAAAAATTAATTATTGGATTCTGATTCAGTGATCCATTAGTATTGTGCTCGCAGCAGGATTTCGATCCTACTTAGGGTTATGGAATTTGATTACATAAAAGTGCTAAATTGAGAATAAAACAACTGTTCAGAGTTTACTGATTCTCTAGATGATCTCAGTTAGTGATGAAAGCCAACACCAAATACAATAATTGACTAAAGTCTTTTAATTACCAGTATCTTTTTTCCATTGTTATGTTGGTTAGCGATAAGAACCATCGGTTACTTATTGGTTATTAAAATCTTAGATGTAAATTCAGGACTAACAAGAACAGCGAAAGATATTTCTAACATATACTTTAAGTAAAAGATAAGATTGAAACTAAACCTCTATTAAAAATTCATGAACTAGTAGTTTTAGAGCAACACATCTGAGAACCAGAATGACTCGGTTTAATGGAGTTAATAAATATGGAGTGAAGTTGGAACTTTAAACATTGTAAGAGCTGTTCGACTTTGTTGGATTTTGGATATGAATGGTTCTGAATGATCTTATAGGGTTTTCACTCACATTGGCTTTGTTCGGTTTTCTACATGATAGGCTACAAGATAGCTTACTTTAGTTGTTGACCGAATACCTATAAACCACACAGAACCGAACATTCTACAAAACCAATTAACAAATCAGTAAATCACAGGCTCATTAAAACAATTATTATAATAAAAACAACTTAAAGCCAGTGACGACTTTGTTAAACAATACTAATCTTTTTAAAAGTGGAACAGTTACAAAATATTTGATGCAAATCAATCATAACCACCGATAACAGTGAAAAGTGGTTGGGAACATAGGATGACACCGCTCATAATCCGTCACAGCGGACCAAATGCACTCTTTTAACTCGCCCTAGATTTTGCGATCCGGCGTCTCTTCATACACACCTTTGTCATTTCGTCCTGTCAAACCATATTATCCAATATTTCATCCTTCTCATAATTAATTTTATTACATTATTTTGACTCCAGCTTATCAACCTCACTTTGTGGCAATACAGTTTGACAACTTGGGCTAACGCAGTCATCAGTCATATGCAAAGTACAACGTTAATTAACCCACATCTGTCCCAGTCTCTTTATTGATTACGACTGACTGATAGGTCACTTTTACAAAACCAATATAATAAATTAAAATACATGCATATATGTGAGCATACACTCAACTTACCTAATGTTGTTTCAGATAAAGTATTTAAGAGTTCTGCTGTCGATTTTGTGATAAGAACCATTTCGGGTAAATGATTTGATGATTTATCACCATTTTGATGTATCAATGAGTTTGATTTTGAATGATTATTATTATTATTGGATAAACCATTCATCATTACTAAATTACTATCATTACTCGTGAATTTTCCCTTATTCGTAGATGACATATGTGCATTGGTTGCTGTTAACTCCTCCATGTTAGACGTCGGATTGTCATCTACATTTGTGCCACCAATTAATACTAAACCATGTTCAACAATTAGTTGATCACGTGCCTCTATTTGATGACGTGCATAATCCAAACGATGTGTTAATTCAACAATTTGCATTTTTTGGTACGCCAATTCCTAAGAGTTAGAAATATGTATGGGTGTGAACGACAGAGAGAAAATCGAATAGATAAATAGTGGAATTATACAAAACTATGAATAATAGGAACCAAGGTGAATACTGATAGCCCGTTAAAGTGAGTAGATCAATGCAAGGATTGATCAATACTCCTAGGAATACACAAACATGATGTTAGTTATCACTAAGTGATCGGCTAATATAAGCATTTAAGTATAACAGGTCAGTTGTAATTTATGTAATTTAGTGTTAACGCCTTTGAATATGAAACTGAATCATCCAGGTTTGAAGACGGCGCGGAGAATCAAAGCAGGTAAACTTTAAGAACAAACATGAAACCTAAATTCAGAGCCTTCGATTAACTACTTACAACCATGTGGTATCAAAAAAGAATGGCTTTGAAGCGAAAAAAAGGTTGAAATAGGTAGGATGATAATATCTACAAATAGAACAGTATAAGGTTAAAGCTATCAACATACGTTTGTTTATCTGTTGTGATTTCTAACAATCCAATAAGTCAGAAAGATTATAATGCTTTAAATGACTCGGATAAATATTAACTTTATACAGAAATAATACATATTTGGCTAATCACTTTTAGTAAAACTATTCTCACTCAAGTGTTTTATTAGTTTCATTTGTTTGGTATTAAACACATTGACACAGTGCCAAGCCGTTTTAAGTGTTAAATAGGTCACTTTAATTTCGCATAACCAGTTGAGAGTATTCTCAATACATAGAATAAAAGCTGTTGCTTCAACATCCCTACTTAGAGTTGAGAATGATGTAACCGCGTGAACCAAGAGTTTGTAATTCAGTAACACAACACACATGTTTTCTTTGATGTTGATGTGTATAATAACTGACTAAACAGTGAAATGAATTTAAAACCTCCAAGTATTTGACATAATCTTTCCGTAAAAACATACATATTTGTTTTAAATCCGCTTTTTATATATCCACAGAATAAAAATTCAAGCATAAAGTAACTTTTGCGAGAGCTAGGAAAATCTGTCGGTTGAAATCATTTGCGCGAAGGTGCATATGAGGCTTGGTAATAATCGTTAATAAAGAAGAAACAGTCGAGACAGAACATAGTACACCATGAATAACATATTGCAAACAAGAATTCACAATGTTATCCAACAGTGAACAATGTTACTCATCTACATGTACTGGAATAAGTAAAGTTAGAATTGAATCTTCAGATGTAACAATCAAAAATTTACCAAGTATTATACTAATCACGTTATATTGTTACATCAAGAAAAAATAAGTTTTCATTGAACGACTAGGAAAAATGTACTGTGCAACTTTCATTCGTTGCATGAGGTGGATAACTGTTCCACACACGACATTGCTGAACTTCACTAGTCACGGCCTCTTACTAGAACTCTGGGAATTTCATCTTGAACTTAGTCATTAGCTAGGCAATAGATGAGGGTTGTGTAATATCGTGAATTGACTGAAGTTAGACTACCATATCATTGATTCCTGGCTCAGTAGTCTAAGGGTTAAGAGTATGCGCGCAAGACCAATGGTCCTAAGTTCGATCCCCGGATGCAGGGTCGTGGGTACACACTGCCGAGTAGTCCCAGACTAGGACGAAACGGCCATCCAGGTTAGTGTTGTCTAACTAAAAGCAGTTCGTGATTTGAACTATGAAAATTCTACGATCTACACAAATCCGCCGATATTAATATAAAAAAATGTTTATCAAAGTGTGCCAGTGATAACAAACCCGTTTGTTTTCTAAGAAGATTTTGTTCAAAGAAGCATAAGCATCTGTAAGATCTTCCAATTTATCTTTGAGCAAATCAACTTCATACCTTGATAAAGTAGAAAGCAAAAAGAAAACAGACCGTTTATTTAGACAGTTGGAAAAAAAAGTGGACAGATTCTAGGTGTGTGTATTACGTCTAACCATGTCTACCAGTTCTCTATACTAGCATATTCATATTATTTTACCAACAAATAACCAACTGCAATTTAATGATTCTTTAAAATTCTTTCACAATTAGTCTTTTTATATCGATCTACTTTTATAATATAGACCCATTTTGCATTGTGTATGTTGGGACCAATGAGTGAACAATGGTGAAGTTTGGTATACGTTACCAGGTAAAGATGACAAGTCGGTTAGTGAGACAATTAATCTTTATCAACTGAGGTGGTTGAGATGTGTATTACGTATGTCTAAATACCACCTACCTCGATGCACGAAGATGCATGGTGTAATAGATTGGACAGAAGATAGGGAAGGCTAAACAAAATTTAGCATCAGCCCACTAAGTCACTGACTATTACAACGAGCCATGTAGATAGGTGCAGATTACCTGGCTTGGATTCGTACGACTATCGTAACCATTGGTTGAACTTTGAATATGGTTCAGAATTGTTCGCAATGACACAGGTGCATTAAACCTTTAACTTCCCTAAGTTCCTGAACTCTGGAATCACCATACATCTTTTGTATTCCTCTATGTGCCTAATATTTTCTGCTACTTCTTTTACCGACCTATGGTTTGTCTTAATAATTTTATTTCGTTGAGCTAATATGATGTAGCAGCTTGAACAGACGCACTGTTTCACATCGCAGGTGACTATGACGGATCCAGTAGGATTCGAAACCGCGTCACCTAGTTTCATAGTGAGACGTTGTCGTCGAGCAGCGACTGACCTGTTAAGCCCCTAAACGCCCTGGTACGGCCGAGAGTAGGAAGAGTCAGCCCTCCCTCTCGAAATGCTCTCACATGGCCATGTACATACAAACACTGCCAGGGAAGTCCTACTCATTGCATTCTCGCGGATTTACTGTTGTTTACGAAATTGAGAGGACGAAAAGAGAATGTCCGGTACTTTAACCGGGTTGGTGGACACAAAGAGTCCACCTAGGAGAGTTGGAAAACTCTGATTTCAAACCAATGGTGCACACGAACTCCAGTATCCCGAAGGAATAAATGGCGTGTGAACCTATTGTTGGTCACCGGCTACCATTGAACTGCATCTCCTGACGTTGCTGCACTACCTTGTGGATCAGACCTTTAGGTCGAATGCTCCAGATGTGGCCTCCTGAGAAAACCACCTGCTTCAGTCTGGGCACCTGGATAGTAACCCAGCACACACAAATTGAATGATTTGTGGCGTATATTTATTTGGTGGCTCCTTGTACCAACGTTTATGTGTTTAAATAAGTGAATAATAGATTTGGGATGTTTACAACTAATCAACCACTGAGTAGTGAAAATGTCATGTTTGTCTGCTCCATTAAGTCCTTATCAAATTATATCGATCAAATTGTAATGTAGCCACTACTCTAAATGTTTGATCACGTTAATTCAATTAACCACTATGATGAATCAATAAAATTAGCCCCACAGATATTTGAGTAGCTGATGGTAGATTTACTTGAACAAGAATTCATGCGAACTGCATTGAAACTAAGGATCGAAAACAGCTGTCAACCAAATTTCAAACAAAGTCCAATGTGTGCTGTTCTCCAGAACCGAAGATCACGACACAAGATTACCGTTTGCAGCAGTGGAAGATAGGCCTTATTAAATACTGCATAACCTTTTACAAAAGGTTAGACGAACAACTATAGTGGTTGCAATGAGCGATTTTAATACGTGAGTAGGAAATACATTAAGATATAAATATTAAGAACTGTAGATGATTGGAATATGTGGAAGCTGGATATATGACCAGACGCACATTTGGGTGCATCTGTATCAGAATTAGTAAACATAACATACCTAAAGCTCCCCATCCTTAATTTGTCAATATGTACTTAAAGATGAAGTAATTGAGTAATGAATGGAGCACACAAGTCATATACATACTAATTTAGCCTGAAGACACATACTGTGGTGTGAAGAAAGGAAATCTACAAGTGGGTAATAAAAGTAGTTGACCTCTGAAGTATCACCTAGGTTAGTTAATGTACAAAGACTCGTTCGAGTTCATTTCGAATACAATAAGAAAAATTAACTGGGGCTAAAACCAACTTTGGGCTTTTATAACAAGTGAGAGGAGCAGAATTTTGAAAAACTGGGAGGCTTTTAAACAATTTCGAAAATAAGTAACATAACGAATTTCCCCAAACTCATCAAACAAGCCTAGCAGAAGGAATTTGTTAGCGAGACTATCGTTGATGAACGTGTTACCGGTTCACCCTTGAGCTATTATGGTATGGTAAAAAGATACACATAGGTATTTCAGGCAAAATCAGATCAACCGAAAGGATAGCGCACAAGTGTTTATATATTAAATAACAATTATTGTTTAAATAGTACACTCGTTTTTTTTGTCAAAATAATCAATCACCAAGTATTCAACATCTAGGTATTAGTAATACACTCAACTAAGCAACGCTATATTGCTTAGAGATCACATTAAAACACATTCACAATGAATCAGATATAGGCACCTCATTAGCCACAAATCGGTCGGAGAGCATATTTTAGATTTCATTGATACCCTGTAACACTAAAACATAACCGAGGAAAGTTGTGCACCAACCGATATATATGAATTCGACAGAGTGGATAAATATCAAAAGTGTTGGAAGGTCCTGGAAGCAATCAATTCATAAATTACTATCTTAAACGGTAATGATTAGAATAGTTTACATTGTAAGTACCTACTTCAAAAGTTGTTTATCATTGTCTAGTTGAACATTTGATAACATTGCCCCCTTAACCTTTTCTTCCAACTGCAGTAACTGGGCTCGTAGCTCACGTGCATCCAAATTCCTTGAGCTGATTGATGATGCTAAATCGGCCGAAGAACGCTGACTACTCAGGCGTGAAGTGCTTCCATTATTAATCTACGTGCATGATAAACAGTAAATATGGTTTTTTTAAGACCCGCTTTGATTAAAGAGTAATCGGTACATTTGCACCATGAAAACAAAAGAACAACTAACTAATAGGCAAGACTGAAAAAGCTCATATCACCAAACGTTTCAACACACAATATGAGGGAAACAAAGACGACCTTTCATCTCCTTTTTAATCAAAACAAGTTCGGCTCAACACAACCTTAAATTGATTCCTGAATGGTTTGTTGTTAGTTTCTTAATGAAATATGATTACAAGTACATAAACATGAAAAACGCATACATGGGAAATGAAAGTTGGAAGTTTCAAACCAATAATAAGCAATATAGTATGGAAGTACGTTGGTAAAAGGTGAATAGAACAATACATAACATCAGCTCATGAAGTCATGAACTGCTGGTGGTAGCCGTACAAGAAACTAGAAAACTCTACCGATCAGGAGATATTCGTAACTACTGGGTGGAGACTAGGTGCTATAGCTTAAATCCTAATACAGAAAATTAAAATATATACGATTGTAACTAATTGTAAAAGCAATAGAAAGGACTTACTTTAATGATAACGTCAGGACGCTCACTACTACTGTCATCCTTACTTTCCTCCTTAAAATGAATTTATCAAACTGGAATATACAAGACATACTTCGCGTCTCATTTTTTCAAGCTCCTTGTGCTTAATTATTCTACCTTCTTCAATAAGCTGTTGATTGGCAGCACGCTGTATTTCAGTCTATATAAGGATGAGCAAGCAACTCGAAATAATAGATACCTCCTGCGCTGCCCGTCCCATATCTGAAATATCTGTGTAGGGAACATGCCGCGAAGCCATAATTCATCTGTAGATCTAAGTAGAAAGAAATGGGAACTCTTTTGTCAATGAGATACCGTTTAATAAGCTTAAAGAAATTATAATAAAACGAAGTCTTGTGCACAAATGTACCATATTTAAAGTACAAATATTCAGTTTTACAAAGCTTTTAGTTTTCGGGAGTAAATTGCTCTAAATTATAGAATGTAGTGATATCAAAGAAACTCTATTACATAAATTGAAAAATAGACAGTAATTGATGTTTGCAACTTGGAGTATAAAAATTATTGAAGTTGCTCAGTTGTAGTTATGGTGGTAAGAGTATTAATTTTTACATGTACTTTCATTGGGGTTGGTTCAACTGTCTTGCTTGTGACTTTTTTACCATGACAGTAGAGTTCAAAATAGCAATCATAGACGATCCTAAACCTAGCACGGATATGTAGAGATTTAAGCTACTATGCTGTACATCAGCACAGCAAGAAAAAACTAGTAAGATAAAAACAAGGGGGTGAGAATATTAATCGCAGTCTGAAATGGGAAATGTAGGTCAGATGAAACGGGTGAGATTGAGGTTTGGAGAAAAGGAATGGCATTAAGATAATGCAATTGATTTTGAGACGTGTCATCTGACATTTCTAACTATTGCTTACGACTGAACGACGGACTTGATCAACGAATTTACTTTTTCTAACACAAGATGATTCTAGCCAACGTTGGTCTTGTCACGAATGTGTCCTCTTTTTCCAACGTTTCCACGTCAAGTAGAACCCGGATAAATGCATCCTCGCACTACGACGTGACCATTCCAAACACCCGTTTCAACGGGGTCTTTCACCAGCCTCTCCAACGACGAGTGATGATACGGTCTACTTGCGTCCACGTCACCGTAGCAGCTACGGTCAGATTATTGAAAGTGGGGGATTGGTGGTCTTAGCATCGAAAGATATTCTATCTCTTTAAATCTAAGAAAAAACTATACTGGGTGTTCCCAACTCAGGAACAGGACCGAAAAATTCGATAAACATTCCATACAGTGTGACGTGTTACACCTAGTGACCAAACCGACCCCTATGAAAAGCACCTTGTATTTCGGGTTTGGTTTGGCTGCGGAAATTTCCCTAGTTGATACCTTAGACAAATCTCGATAGCGAACTTAGAGCTGAGTTCGGAAACATGAATTCAAGAATAAAGTAACTTCTACGTGGGTCTCATTAAGACAAACATGAGCATAAACACCGTTTTCTTGCAGATTCTGGTCCATATACAGCTACCGTGCATGTGCGCTAGCTTTATTATTGGAAATAGAAAGCGACAAAAGAAACAAGCGTAAAAGAAACAACAAACCTACAGGTCACAAACCTTGTTTGAAAACAGTAACTGGGTTGGTCTACCAGTTTAAAGTTCAAGCTGCAAGGTCAGTGTATAGATCTACTAGATATACGCTGATATGACATAAAATTGGGAAAGAACTAGACATGACTTACGAAGCGATTTATTTTGTTGATGGTAGTCAATGTAATATGTGAGCATTGTTCAAGGAAGTCAACAATTGATGATCGATGACAACAGATAATAAACTTTGTAGCTAGATACACTCCTTAAAACGACATTAAATCGATTGCTGGCGATAAAAATGAAAGATTCGCACATTTAGAGCTGACATATACGTATACACGCGCTTAAATGTATGTGGGAACGACTTCACAAACGGAAATTAGTCGCTACTCCGTGACAAATTATTTAGATAAATAACTCAACAGTGCTGTTCGGATGCAAACAGTCTCTTAACCGAGGCCATCTCACTGGTTGATGCTGCAAAGGAGTGTTCTAGCAAGCGTAGTCGGAACACGTCAAACAGCACTCGATCTGTCGACACACAAATCGACATGAAGCAAACTAAGGTTAGTTCGATAGTAGATGACTCATGCCGGTCAAAGAAGGAAAATCAGTCTCCAAAGAGGCCTGCCTTAAACAAAAGCCCAAGGAAAGTAGGTTCTTCTGTTCCCCGTCTCCCAGATGGGATCCCACAGGAAACGTCTAGAAGCCGCAATCGTAGGGCTCGATCGGTTTCAAACGATGAACATAACCTGACCTCTCAGGTCATCGACAACCTTCCAGAATCCAACACTAGGTTTGGCGCAAATGTTGTTGCTTCTCCCAGCACCGTTGACGAGTGGGTACGGGTTGTAAGGAAGAAAAATTGTAGCGATATAAGAGGTAATCCTACCCCTGCGAAAGTAGTCGTAAAATCGAAAGCTGATCATGGCGACAGATCAGCTATTTTTCATAGAATCAAGGAGAGCGAGAGCTCTGAACCTAAAGCTCGTTTTGAGCATGACATTGTGCTGATCAAGCAGCTGCTTAATCAACTCATGCCTCAAAATATCACCGGGATCACCTTGCTAAAAGTGTATAGACTAGGGAGTCTAGCGGACTTGAAACCAAATCATTCCAGACTGCCTAAAGTAGTACTCAACTCTTCGAACGAACGTGACCTGATTTTACAGAATAGACACAAATTAAAGGGTTCAGGAGTCTATGCGAAAGGACCTACCGTTGGCAGACCGTGTAAAAAGACAGAAGCCGAAAAAGAACTAGTACTTAGGTTAGACGCTGGCAAAAAGGACCTGAAAATTGTAAATTTTCGGGGTGTAAGGCTTCAACAGAGATTGATGCCGACGCCACTCTGGGTGAAGCACGAAGCCACTTAAATAGGCTTCGGATCTGCTACACTAATGCCCGGAGCCTACTTAATAAGCGATCGGAACTAGGTGTACAGATTGACTCTACAAAGCCAGACATAATCGCAGTAACAGAAACCTGGCTGACACAGGCTATAGATAGTATGGAAATTGATTTCGAGGGTTTTACGTTAGTAAGCGCCGACAGAATACAAAAGCGTAAAGGAGGTGGAGTAGCTCTATTCATTAGGAATGCTATCCCATTTGCCATTATCGACAGTGTATCCCATGAGAGTGGTACGTGTGAATTAGTTAGTCTTCGCTTTAAATGCAAGGGACAAGAGTTGCTGATTGGTTTGGTCTATCGCAGTCCAAGCTGTGAGGTAAATGAAGTCCTGCTGAGCAGTCTCAAAACTCGGTCCCAAAGTGGTCGATGTCTAATCCTAGAGGACTTTAATGCACCTATGGTAGACTGGGAAAATCTGCGAACTGAATCGTCGGAAAATTCCTTCGAGCAGGAACTAGCTGATGCGGTTATCACATGTGCTCTAGTACAACATGTGAAAGAAGCGACTAGGTACGACCCGGACACTGAATCATCCTTACTAGATCTAATACTCACTCACTATGTGGATGACGTTGCGAACCTTCATTATATGCCACCCCTAGGTAAAAATGATCACGCAGTTTTAATTCTCGACTTCCATATAACTGTCAGTCACGATCACGCGTTAGCTCAATCCAGACCTAACGTCTGGAAAGCAAATATACCAGATATCATGCACTCAACACCGTTAGTAGATTGGACAATTGACCCAGAGTCCTCAGTTGAAACGGCCTGGGACGCATTTCGAAATTCATACTTAAAAGTTACCACACCCCACATCCCTTGGACTATATCAAGGGTACCGAGAAACTCCCCACCATGGTTCAGTAGGGAGGTCCGTATCATTCTCCGTAAGAGAAGAAAAATGTGGGATAGATTTAGGTCACTGGGGACTGATGAAACTAAATCCCAGTATAGAAAAGTCCGGAATACCTGTGCCTCGACCCTCTGTAAGTCTAGAAAGTTGTACGAAGAAAAGATTGTTAAGGAATCCATAGAATGTCCTAAACGCTTGTATTCTTATATAAACCAAAGGACAAAGAGAAGAGGAAATATTCCTGCTCTATGATGAGACAGTACTGCCACGTCACTAGTGGAGGACGACTTTGGTAAGGCTCAAGTGTTCTCAAACTACTTCGGCAATGTATACACCATAGAAGCACCCTTCCCATCAGCGCATACATATCCCCCACACATACATTGGATAGCGTGATGAATTACATCCTGGACGACTGAAGGAATCATCTTACTTCGTTGCGAACCCTTTAAGTACATCCTTTAAACTATTCGTAACGCAGGGTCGTTTGCCCAAAGACTGGAAAAACGTCATAGTAAGTCCTGTTTTCAAAACAGGTACGAAACACAAACCTGAGAATTACCGCCCCGTTAGCCTAACTAGTGTGGTTGTTAAAATCTTAGAAAAGATTATTCGGAAGGAGCTGTTTAAGTATCTCGATAAAAACCGGATCCTTTCGGAGAAGCAGCACGGTTTCAGAATAGGTTACTCTTGTCTCACTAACTTATTAGTGGCTCGTGAAAGCTGGTGCGCTCTTAAGGACCAAAAGTTACCTGTAGACGTAACCTTCATTGATTTCATCAAAGCTTTTGGTAAGGTTCCGCACAACCGGCTGTTATATGAGTTAAGAAATGTCGGAATTGGAGGCAATCTATTTATGTGGATAAAACACTTCTTACTTGGGCGTCAACAAAGAGTTCGGGTGAACTCAAAGTTATCTAGCTGGGAAACTGTGCTTAGTGGAGTGCCCCAGGGTACAGTTTTGGGGCCAGTGCTATTCCTCTTGTATGTAAATGAACTTCCTTGTCTCCTATCATCATCGGTCTTGCTATATGCTGACGATGTCAAGATATGGAGAACTGCAAAATGACCTGAAGAAATTATCTGAATGGTCTCAAACCTGTCAGTTGCCGATAAACACTTCCAAGTGTGTTGTGATGCATATCGGTCATCAAGGCACAGACACATACACGATGAATAACACTGAGCTACCTGTCGTCCAGACATATAATGACTTAGGAGTCATCGTTAGTCAAGACTTAAAGACTACTGCACACTGCAGTGCAATAGCCGCCAAAGGTTTTAGAACGTTATGGTCAATACGTAGGGCTTTTAGTCATGTCGACGCTAAGACGTTTTCGACTTTGTATACAGTGTTCGTACGTTCTAAACTTGAGTACTGTATGCAAGCGGCCAGCCCCTGCTTAAAAAAAGACAGTGAGCTTCCGGAAAAGGTTCAGAGAACGGCGACTAAGCTGATTCCCGAAATAGCGAAGCTTCCGTATGAATCTCGACTGGCCAAGCTGAACCTTTTCCCGTTGTCTTATCTTAGAACTAGGGGCGACTTGATTACAGTTTTCAAATTGCTTAGTTCCAAATTCGCGCCTGATATGCCCTCATTTTTCTAGTCTTCCAAAACAGAGAATTTACGAGGACACTCCAAAAAAGTTCACAAGCCAAGAACAAATTACTTGTCAGCTGACTATCGACTTTCCCATCGAATAATCAACGAGTGGAGCTCATTACCTCAGTACGTGGTTGAGGCTCCATCCGTCGACTTTTTCAAAAGAAATTTGGATCAACTGAGAGACCACCATTGCCAGGATTAACATAGGCTATCGGGCCTCCTGTCCTTCCCAAACTGAAACTGATCATAGAAGCAGTGAGCATGAGAAACAGAAACCCCTAATGAGCCCAAACAAAATAGACTGGATAGTTTGTATAACAACCAAATGGCAAAGTGAACATAGACTTCAGGCTGCTTAACCACTCCACGAGTTGTGCACGTAGAGTTTGTGAATAAGTTGGTATCATGTTCTGGCTTCGATAGAACAGGAAGTTTAGCTAACTTGTTTGTTAGGACGTTTTCCTATTCTTCCTGGTTGTCTAAACCGGTGTGTTTTGATTTATTTGTAGAGAAAATATTTTTCCTATCACTCTTCTCAATGATGAAATATTTTCTTGTTTGTTCTATGATGCGATATAGTCCCTCATATGGTGTTTAAAGTGGTTTAATAACAGCATCTGAGGAGATAAAATGATTTTCCATATCACCAAGTGTTTATTTAGCTGTTCATGGAAAGTAGGTGCACCCGTGGGGACTGACTTAAGCTCCTGCGTGGCTTGTAACACTTGTTTGAGCCGTTCGAAGGCTATCGTTGTATTTGACTAACCACATCGATGAGACTAGAAACGTGTTGTAATCTAGTTCTGCTGTCGTACACTCTTTGATCATCGATTCTATTTCAAGCAGGTTAGGCTGAATGTCGTTTCTTATGGTTTAGTTAGCCTATGGCATAAGCAGGCTCTTCAGTTGGCAATGAGACCTATCAGTTAAAACATTAGCTGTAGGATGGTAGGCGGTTGTCTGACACGTGTTCATATGAATCTTAGGAGTTAACGGGTCAAGACTGACTGAAATTGCGGGTCACGATCAGTAGTGGTTGTGGAGTTGATGTCATGGTTGGAAGTCCGACGATTAATAAATATCGAGACAACTAATTTTGCTGATAAATTATTTATGGAGCAAACTATAGACTATTTAGTAAATCTGCCTGTCACAAAATATATA